GCATAGTAATAGTGGGTTGGCTTTGATTCATTGTAGAGCACTGTCAAATGCTACATGTATATTCCATTAGTGTCCTTGTCTGAAAATTTATCAAATTGGTAATAAAACCAATAGATAATAACTTAAGAGTCGGACGTCATGCGTTTTCTTGATTACTGCATTTGTGGTGCACTTCTTCAAACATAGCCCATGCCCTCTCACAAAATTGTGATAATAATGATTTTTTATGTTTCACACAATGATTTTTCCCCCAACCACTCTTTGCACATTGTTCTGCAGCTCACTAATGGGAAGAGAATCCCTATTTTCTCCATCCCTATGATGCAATTCACAATAGTATGCTAAATTTATCTAATTAAAAAAGCTAACAAGTTAGAATGGTTATTTTAAGCAGAAGATGAATATTTTGACCAACATACTCCATGTATACTTATGCACAATGATATATTCATTTAAAAGCTATTTTTGATAAACTATGGGGTAAAAGAGGACCGTTTGTGGCAATTGTGGGGTAAGACAGGACCATTTGTGGGGTAAGATAGGACCACTTGTTGGGTAAAACAGGATCATTTAGTGGTCCTGTCTTACCCCATGTCTGGTCCTTTTTTACCTTATTTTAGAATAGTTGTCAGGCAGTGATGATAGCAGGTAGGAATGCCTAGTATGTCTCAAAAGTTGCTTGTCACTTGAGGTTACCTGCCTACATCCACAAACCTGGCCAAAAAATTTTTTGTAACCAGACACAGCTTATTTCCCAAATAGGGTTAACTATTTTGTGACCCTTCTCTACATAGGTTTGCTTTGAAAATTAACCAAAAATAAATTATTTGTAGAAGAGGGTTGAAACAAACACTGAAATGACAGGCAATGATTGCTCTAACATATTCTTTTGTCAAATTAAATTCAGTACAATTAGAATGCATGCAATGGGCCGGTCCTTTCTTACCCCATGAAGGCTGCGATCCTGTCTTACCCCATTTGACTATACTGGTTAATTTATTATCCCTCTAGAATTCCACACTGGCAGCCATGCAGCATTTCTTCTGTATCTGTAAGCTTACAGGATGGTTTGTAATTTTGCACAATTTTGATTGAGTTAAGTGATTTCACTATAACAAAAAAGATTGTGAAAAACATACCTGAAACAGAAAATAATGTTCTAGTGACAACATCATATGTTTTGAAGAAATAAATCATAGTTTAGGTCAATTACTTTTCATTCTATGATGCCTTTACACAATTCTATATATAGTAGCATTCTATGTACAATTTTGTGACGACCGATGATGCACTAATTTTTCGATAAGTGAATTTTTTTTGCCGAGCGAAGTAAATGTAATCAAAATTCTTTGTTGTTGATCAATTTTATTGTTAACTGGAGCCTTTGCTAACTGAGGTTCTACTGTAAATGCATTTTTATTTTTTAAAGGTGTCCCTACCCTAATTACCCTGGGGGGTGTCCCTTTTCACCCCGTTGTGAGGAAATGGCTGCCATTTTTTTTTAATGAGATAGGCAAATTCTGTCAATTACGTTACAATTACATCAATTGTAACGTAGTAATTGAATTCAATTACATCTTATCCCAGTGGGGTAAGATGGGACCAGCTCACTTTTTTTAATCTGTACAGAAAACTATGTCAGATGCAAAAGTCTGAGTTGTAGCTTAGAAGCCCATTGCATAACTACACCTTGTGATAGGTTTAGGGTTTTTTAGTTATTCATTGTATAGATGCTACAGGCTTGTTGCTAGTGATTTCGTTCCTGTCTTACCCCATCTGACTATATGGTCTTTAGATCTTATGTTGCTAGTTTTCTCTGTGCCAATCTGGAATACTGGCAGTCTGGCAGAATGAAAATTATTGCTCATTTATAAGTGATTTTCAGAAATTGTGGGCAAAAATTCAATTCTTTTGAATTTTTAACAAAAAAGTTAAAAGAGGCTCAAGGGTCGTAACTCATAAGAATGGGTAAAAGTATGTTTGTCTCATTCATTTAGCGCTTCTGGCTGATTTTCCATTATGCACTTGATTCACTGAAATTAGATACAATTGTAATATTAGAAAAGCTGAATAACAACATCCTAAAAGATGAATTGAAAATTGCCTTATACAGCAGAATCTTGGTTAACCACAATAATCTGTTCCAGTAAAGTCAATGTTAACTTAAACATTCATTAAAAGAATTAATTTCCTCATTAAAAACAATGGAAATAGAAATAATTGGTTCCCAGCCAGGCAGTTCTTAACTTCTTATAGATTCACTTGTATACTATATAGGTATAGACTGTAATGATAGTAACACGTACATATAGCATAACAGATTCAGTCCATGATTCTACCCTAGCTTCCAGATTGAAAGCACCGGGCTCAAAATTATTAATATTTTATCAATTTCTTACTATTTTATCCATACACTTCATTGATTTTTCACCACGCTGTGCTTCATTTTTCTAGGTGAATAATGCAATATATTGATGGAATAATTAAGAGAATCACGTTTTCCGAATTTTTTGACAGCAAAAACAACTTTGCCAGCAATGGCGAGTTGATAATATATGAAAGATTGTAACTAAGATGGAGGCTGTGTAGGTATGTTTCTTAAATTAGAACAGTTATAAAAGGAGCTAAATTTTCATGGAGGGGGAATCCTGGACAGGGTTTAGTCTTTTCAATGATTTATGGTAGGTATTTACATTTTGTGAACACCACAGGCTCTTGAATTTTGTATCAACGAGAAATGTTTTTTCACAGATATTCCAGTATCATTTGAAGCAATAAACCTTATTCATAAATCCACTTCCCCAGATTGGCCAAAAATGGATCCAGGAGCGACAGAAACTCTTCATCCCTATACTTTTGATGGTCAATTCAGTGATGCAGATGAAGAAAGGTATGTTATTTAATTGCATTTTTAATTATAGCCAGTGTTTCGGGAGGAGGCATGGCCATTAGTCATTGTTTTATTTGACTTATTAATCAGAGTAGTGGTTTTACTGGTTAAATATATATGAATAATGATGAATTTTGTAAAAAATTCTCTTCTGATAGGTTCTCAGATCATTTGATGGCAAATGTAATAACAGATTAACAGTTACACTTTTTTTTTAAATACCATGGTTTTAATATTAAATTATTTGGCTATAATTTGTTTCTTATAAATATCCTCATTATCTTGAGTAGGTACTTATTAAATAAAATTTGTATGGATTATGTTTTTTTGTACGAAATTTTTTCCTTTTCTGTTTCATCATTAATATAACTATAATATATATCAGTGGTTCCCAAAGTGGGTGATATCGCCCCCCTAGGGGCGGTGGAAAGATTTTGGGGGGGCGGTATGGAAGAAGAGGGCGATAGGGGGGCAGCAGTCCGAAGTCAAAGTCAGAAGTTTGAGCGTTTGTTTGACAATTTATACACAACACTTGCAGCACATGACTCCCAGCGATGGTTTTTTTCACCCAGATCTGTTTTTTTAATCTATCCTGGGTTTATATCTCGGACAAATTACCGGCTGGTCTCACGGCCAATTTCCACAATCAATGATCAAGGAATGTCTCTCAAACTAATGAACGTAACTCAATGAAACTTGGTACACGTATTCATTAGGACCTAACGGTAATGTTTAGCTTGTGAAAATTTTTTAAATTTTGCCCTCATTTCTGAGTTATATGGCAATTGGGCCCACAGTGATCAAGTAATTTCTTTCAAACTACTGAACAGATTCAAATGAAATTTTAAATTTACAGTCCTAACTACCAAACGGTAATGTTTAGCATTTTAGCTCCTAGAAATTTTTTCTATTTTGCCTTCGTTCGCGAGTTTTTTTTTTTATTTCACCTACATTCATGATTTAAACGGCAATATGTGCTTAAATTTGCAGTAATCAATAATTTTCTTCCAAACTACTGAACAGATTCGAGCGAAAATTAGTATTTTAAAACCTAACCTCAGCAATGGTGATATTTAGCTCGTTACAATTTTTTTCAATGTTGCCTCTGTTTGCGAGTTATACGGCTATACGTATATGGCTATATACATAAACGGCTCTTGGTTAAACTGGCCGGTAGAAAAGCCGGTCGTTTCTCCTATATCTGTATAACTTGATAACGATAGCAAATTATAAAAATTATCACAAGCTAAACATCACCGTTGGGAAGTGAGGTATTTACATACAAAGTATTGTTGAAATCTCTTCAGTAGTTTAGAAGAAATTCCTTGATCACTGTGAATTTAAGCAACAAATTACCCGGCAAAGCGAGGCAAATATAAGGAAGTGTGAAATCAAGAATGACAGTGAAATGGAAAAAAAAAACTCGCAATCGAAGGCAAAATCAAAAAATTTATTGAAAGTTAAACAAAAAATAAAATCCCCGTTTGTTAGTTAGGAATGTATATTCAAAATCTTGTTCAAATTTGTTCAGTAGTTAGAGAAGAAATTCTTTGATCACTGTGAATTTCAGCCTGTATCTCAATATAACTAACAAATAAAGGTGAAATTTAACAAAATCTCGCAAGCTAAACATCACCATTAGGTTCTGATGAATACATGTTCCAAGTTTCATTGAGCCGCATTCATTAGTTTGGGAGATATTCGTGGTCACTGAATTTGGAGATTGGCAGTGAGACCGGCCACAAGTCCGGCCGTAAATTTGCCCGAGACGTCCTAGGTTTCTAGTGCTGAAACAGTTAAAACAGCTGAAATACATATTAGTTTGCTAAATGGGGTTCTATTTGTGAAATACACATTTGTGTTTAACCATTATGTTTTAAATTACAGCGTACTAAATTTCAAGAAAGAGGCGCATGTTTTTATATGTCTGTGGGGGGCGTTAGAAATACACTAGGGAGCCAAAGGGGGTGCCAGCCTGAAAAAGTTTAGGAACCACTGATATACATAGATTTTTTTCCATTTTTGAGTCATTATGTAGTATATATAAACTGTAAGTTTTAAATATATTTTATGCCAACATAATTGATGAAAGAATATATATAAGAAAGAATACATACCGGTATATGCAAACCTCAAAATTTATCTACCTATATATACTTGGAACAAAGCCCCTAAACATGGGCTTTGGTACACTATGATCAGTTTAATATCTCTTTTGTTCTGTATCATTGTTGCATCTTCCCCACATCCATTTATCTTCATCTTAATCTTAAAACCTACTTTTGAAGAAAAAGTATAATATTTACCATTCAGTAAATAATCCCTGTCCACTAGCTTTTATATTGATTTAATTTTGTCTGTGTTGATTTAAAATTGGAATACTACCGGGATATTTATATATTCACTAAATCTAAAGATAACACTATAATGATACAGAAACATCATTTTCAGCTGCAAACTTTATCTTTTCAAGTGAAGACCATAAACAGAAAATACTGGCTCTAATTTGAGGATTTTGAAGGTGTTTTTAATTTGAAACCACCCCATTTTGTCTGAGCCAAATGACCATCATCTGCATGTAATGCTGTAGTTCTGCCACTACCAGTACACATAAATTTATTTTTTGCTAATTGAAATTTCATCTTCCAGTAATGAATGTCACAGAGAATGCAGCACGTTACCTGCAAATATGGGAACACTCGTCATTGACCAGAGTGAGCACTGGTCTTCAGAGTGAGTTGCTGATATATTGCAGATTTTTGTCATTTTAATACAGTGCTACTGGATCATTGACATGTATTGTCTTTTATGTAAGACATGTGAACCTTAGAAGTTATTTTTGTTTATTGAGGCAATGACTTTTAATTATTTTCATGTTATTTTTAGGACCAAATTTTGTACTCTGATCAGCGTATGTGACAGGTAATTTCTTTCATTGACCTTAATATGAGTTGTCCTGCTCATGTGTCATAATGGTTGTATATTTATCATGAACTTGACCATTTTAAGCGCATTTTCTCATTTAAAATAAAAAGCGCTATTGTGCTCGTCATGTCCGTGACTTCACATCACGGAGTGAGTGAGAGAAGATGCGCTCTCTCACTCACTGCAGTGTGTACTGAGTTATATATTTTTTTCTACAGTGAGCAGCCTTCACACAATTCTCATGATGATATCCGAGAAGATCCCAACTCCCTCCTGCAATTTCATTATGGACCAAACTTGGATGATGAGTATGATGATGATGATGATGATGATGAAGATGACTATGATGAGGAGTATATGGCTAATGTTCACCTTGGCTGTAAGTTTCATACTTTGTTTATTGTCATGTTTATATTACAAATTCTTTCAAACATCACCAATAATTATAATTTTCTGTTTAAAATTTGTTTAAATGAAATAAGTAGTATGTATATGACCTGTACATGCATTTAATACAGCATTTTCTACATGAGAGCATCTATATTTTTTACCTGAAATTGAGTGTGTGGTTCCACAACACCAAATAATTTGAAACTGTATAAATTTGAAATTTGGGTATCTGGTACATATTACATGCATTCCTTTAATGCTTTATCTCCATAATTTTTGCTCCTTCACAGCTCTTCACCAAGTTTTTGGAGAGAGCATAATGGGCAGCAATACGACCAGCACATCAAAGGTACACATATGCAGTCTAGTCAGATATTGGTGTAAGGAATAAATTTGATTGCACTGGAATTTTTGTCTTAATTTGCTGCTGTTCAATGTGCTAAATACATAACAGTAATTGCTTGGAAAGTAGAGTTACTGTTTATTCTAATGTCAAATTTTTTAGAGTTTCAAAGTAAATTGTTGAAATGATTATATTATCTTGAAAATTCATTATTGCTTGCCGTGCTTTTATGTTGCATTTCATATGGATGCAATACTTACTACTATTTGTTTTGTAGAAATATATGCATTGCCTCAATATTTAATTAATTTCCAGGGAACTAATGTGTTTCAACCTGAGCAATTCAGCAGTCGCTTGTGCTTCGATCAGTACAGTCATGGCCAGTACAAGACGAGCGCCACCAACGCCCTACAGAACCAGCAGCAGAATAGGTACGTTTTTTAATCCTTACAGATATTTACTTTGGAAGTGTGGGAATTAAATTCACAGACCTCTCAATGCGTGAGGAACTGAATTATGTAAGTTAGGATTCATCAAATAAATTTTTTTTAAGAAGAAATCTTTTTCTTATACCATACTAAAATTTATTAATTGCCGAAGTAAATTATTATTGTACTACAAAGTTAGTGGCAATTCCCTATTATGCATTCACAATTTTCTTGATCACGTTTGCTCTAGTGATAACTCTAAAGTATTCCAATATTTTTTATGTGATCTCATCATATTCTGTTTATCATCTCTGATGCACAAATAAATAAAATCACGTTTTTGCATGGTTTGTGGACAAAGCGTCAGTGACCGTTACTTCAACTTCTAATTAAAGCTGGTAAATTCATCTATGTCACTGTTACTGAGAGTGATTGATGTGATAATCTGTACGACTATGGTAATATAACTTGTATTAAAACATTGCCTGCAGGTACATCAAACGTGACAAAGACGATCGCAAAACAGCAGATAAGGTGCTGGACAAGAGGACTGCCATGATCATTCACAAGTACATCAACAACGAAGACATCAGCGGTGTACGTTGGGCTCGTCAAACTTGCATGAATTTGAATGTTTACAATTTGTTTATAGACTCTTCCAACGTACCTATGATTTTTAATGTCAATTATCAATGGTATTGAGTTGAAATTAATCGTTGTAGTAAGCCTTATTAATGCTTGCTGTTGCATTTGTTTTATTGATTTTATTTCTCAGGTTTATGGTTGCATTTCTACCGGCAAAGAGGCGAACGTGTACTACTGTGCGAGTGAAAAGTATGGTCCTTGCGCCCTCAAGATCTACAAAACTTCTACTATGGTCTTCAAAGACCGAGACAAATACGTCACTGGGGACTACAAGTGGGTAGTAACATGCCAAATTTGGCGTTGGGAAAAAAGATCTTATTTATTTTAACAACTGACAAATTTATTCTAAAGAATGACATTTTTTTCTAACTAATTACAAAGTATCCTTTGAATAATTGGAGTTTCTTTTTGCTAACTTTGGATCAGTGAAGCAGTGATTATTTATATGCTATTATAATTGAGAGGCAGCCTAATTATTCCAGGTCGCATGTGGCTTGCGCCAATTAAACATCACCCACCATGCATTCAAATAAATTACCTTAGTTGAAATTTACAGGTTTCGCCACGGCTATGCTAAACACAACAGTCGCAAGAAAATCCTGGTGTGGGCAGAGAAGGAGTTCAGCAACCTGCATAAACTTTACTCTGCGGGGCTGCGCGTCCCGGAACCTCTCAAGCTGCGCTCTCACCTCCTGCTGATGAGGTTCCTGGGGCATGAACAAGACCCTGCCCCACTCCTTAAGGTAACGAGGGTGACAATTGTTATTCCTGTGACATGAGATGCTAGTGCGTCTAAATTAGAATACTTGACAGAAAATTTTAATCAATTTTTTTAGCTATTCATTAGCTTACATTGCATTCTTCCCCATTTCTTTTTAACTCGAGCTATAATTTCCCTGAAATGTTTTTTTATGACCGTCTGAATTTATAAGATTATCCTGGCAAGTTTTTCTAGTGATGCCATGGTATTATTGATGGCTTCTGATTTCAATTGGTGGTTTATCACTGAATTTATTAAAAAAATTTCAGGACCTGAAGATGTCTTCGAAGGTGGCAACTGAGCTGTACTGGTCGCTGGTGCTTGACATGTGGACGATGTACAGAGTGTGTCGGCTCGTCCATGCTGATCTCTCTGAGTTCAATTTGCTGTACGTGGTCCTACTGCTTTTAGCTATTTTAAACTATCCCTTACTATGGAAGTTAATAGTGCCTGATGCTGGTTAGTCCTGATTGTTTGGTTTTTGAGTTTTTGAGTGTCGGCTTCAGATCTTGCGTCTTGCTTTTTTAATTAAAGCAATTGCTATGCAGACTGTTGTGCGATGCCGACTGTTTTAAATGTGAAATTGGAGATTTAATTTAATTCGATCTATATTCGACCTGGAAAAATTTCATCGATGGTTGCTACCTTTGCAGTATTGCCAAATACTGCAATGAGTTGGGATTTGGGGTACCATCTAGTTTTATGGGATTTTAACAACTGGCCAATTTTGTACTGAAAATGTTCTTAGGCTGCTATTACCCTCGCAATTTCGTATAAATTTGATAGTCTTTTTTGAGATTGAATCGTAAGTTTCCTTCTCTAACTTGAAACTAATGTGAATTTCAAAGCTTTCGAATGAGTATATGATTTGTGCAATGGACTTGATGTCGAATAGCAGTGTACAAAATTGGCTTCGATGTTTGCTGCATGTTAGATATGAGTTACATAACAAAGATGCAATTTAAGTTGATTTAAAGCCAGGTACATGTTAGCATAAACATCAATTGGAAATCACGCATCACTGTCTGATCTCATGCTTGTTCCTTGTGCAGTGTTAACGATGGTCAAATTTTCATCATTGACGTGTCGCAGTCAGTGACTCCAGAACATCCTCATGCCATAGATTTCCTTAAGAAGGATTGCTTCAACATTACAGGTTAGAATAGTTTAAACTGTATATCCAATTACTTCCTAATAGTTTAATTTTTTATTTTCTGTTTTGGTGAAGGTATTCTTTTGTCAGTATTTTTACAACACTTCTCTTTAACTTCACTTCTTGTTGTTTGTCTGTCTGCTACAAATCTTATAATCGAAATTTAACACACTTCTACTTATCCTATCGATCTGAAATTTTGCACATTTGTGTAAAGTCGGAGTCAATGCATGAATTAATTGACAGAATAAATAATTTTTGAAAAAAATTTTTTTTTTGAAAAATTTGATTTTTTTTAATATTCGAAAATATAATGAGAAATTCGTTGTACATCTGTAACATTGGATAAACTGGATTCTTTAGAAGTGTTGTCTTTAAAAAGTAATTTTTAAATGTATATTTCTTCATCATTCCTTACTTCAATCCTCCCTGTTCATACTTGACATGAGACAATTTGTCTTTTTTTACATTATTTATAGAATTTTTCCGGAAGAAAGGGGCGCAAACAGTGGGATTTAAGGATTTGTTCCTTTTCATTGTCGACAAGAGCATCAGTCATGAGAATAAAGACGAATGTTTTGTGAAGCTGAAACAAAAGGCTGCTGCTAGGGATCCCAATCTCACCAATGAGGAGAAGGTCGATGAAGAGGTCTTTAAGGGTGCTTTCATCCCCCAGAACTTGGGGCAGGTATGTTACAATGGTGTCTTCGTTCTAGAATGTAATGCATTTTCTTTTGATGCTAGGTATAATTCAAGCTGAATGAAATCCCAAAAATTACATCATAACGTGGATATTTTTTTGGCTGCAGATTCCATGCAAAATTATTTTAACTCATAATGGCAGCTTATATATTTGTCCCGTTTGTATATGATCGGCACAAATCACATGTGTGAACTCAGGGAAGAAAACCTTTCTATATTCGAACCCTATAATTATTTGGCTAAAGCCATTGTAGAGCTTAAGCAGTAGCCTTAGTAGCACCAAGATGGTTGTTATCTAGGCGTGGGATCGAAACATGGGAAGTTATGTTTATTTCTCGGTATAGCTATAATGGCGGTGCGTCACAGCGTTATGTAGGTCGATAGCAACACACCAGCCTGGCCATGAACGAAGCCCAAAGCGAAACTCTACTCCCCGTCTGTTCTCATGAGAATTTTTTGATCTGAACGTGGTTTTTGTCTTAAATTTTGAGTAAAGCCGCCGATGTCTACTTTCAACACGCACGGGAATGCAATGCTTGTTCTTGTCTCAGGTGGTTGATTTTGAGCGGGATTACTACGAAATGAAGATGGGTCAACGGCACTCGGATGATCTGGACTACCAACCCATTATTGGTATGGCTCCAGACTTGTCATCCGCAGCTACCGTTCCTAGGATCCTACACGGTCCTGAATCACATACCAATGATGCTCTATGTAGTGCCTCGAGCCAGTCGTCTGCTGATGTCGGAGCTGATAACGATTGTCCCATAAATTGTGATGCAAATGATAAAATAGATGCTCCTCAATACGTACAATCTCCTATTGAGCGGGAAGTAGGTGAAGTAAAATTACAACTTTACTCTAATGAAGAGAATGAAGTTGAAGATGTCACAATAGAAGAGGAATTTAAAGAAAACAATTGTTCGTCAAAACTAAAACATCAGGTCAGACCTAAAGGCGAAACCACGGAGGAGAAAAAGTTGAGGAAAAAGGAGGTAAAAGAAGACAAGGCTGAGAAAAGGAAAACAAAAGTTCCTAAACACGTAAAAAAACGGGCTACCAAAAAATAATCAGTCCTCGCGTTTTTAACTTCTGTTGTCTTGTTATTTTAATTTGACTGAAATGATCATATTTGTGATCAAACTATTTGCAAATTGTCAGTCGCTGAACGAGTTGCCCTGTAACTTTGAGCATTAAAAGTTCCATTGACTGTCCAAAACCTTTTTAAACCTTTAACTCAATATTTGTGATTTCAAACTTCATCGTAGTCTCCTAATTAGGGCATCTTGATTTGTTAACGTTAATTTTTTACGCGGTGAATTCCTAATGAGAGTGAGCAAAGAATAATTGGAGCTGTCAAGCTCGTCCCATTGTTGTCTGCTCGGTGTGTATCGCGAGCTTGTATTCATTTGCATTAGAGTCCGATAGGAAAAGGATACACGTTTATTGTAGACTGGCGTACGCTCTTTATTGTAGACTGGCGTACGCTCGAACGTATATTTTTCCAATGTATTTTTCTCCGTTTCTTTGAGTGAGTGCATCATTACATCGCTCAAGCCAGAATTTAAGAATGATTATATTTCGGTAGAAAATGATTTTAACTCGGTTACTTATTGCCTAAATACCGAAATGGTCAACAACAAGATTTTATACTCTTTCTTAGCTATCAGTTGAGAACCAATATTGAATTTTGGATTTGGTGAAAATTCCATTTCTAGGGACTGTCAAGATAAAATTAACTTGTTAGCGCGTGAGTAACATTATCGCAGTGATTCTTTTTCATGGAGCTCCAGTTCCGCGAATACGTTTTCGACGAATTTTTGCTTCCAAGCTTCTACTTTGTTTTGCATTACCCCCTGTAAATCATGGTTGAACCATGCTGTAAATAATGTAATTAAATATATATATATAACAATTGTTTTGACGAACAATTGTCAACATTTCATAGGCTATGTTAGCCTGTGGCTAGTTCTGTGTGAACGCAAGACCACACGCAAGTTTAAAAGGAAGCTGACCACCGAATCGACACTTTAGCGAACTCAAGCGCGAGCTCAAGAGGCAAACCTAACTTCACCTTCAACTTACCCAGTCATAAATCCATAAATACCGAATGGATTTCTTTCAAATTTGAACCATAAGTAGATAATATTAGTAATTTGTGGACAGATTTATTTCAGAATTTTACATAAAATACTTTTTTATTAATACGGAAACCATGACTTCATTTTCAACTTACCCAGTCATAAATTCATAAATACCGAACGGATTTCTTTCAAATTTGAAAGATAAGTAGATAATATTAGTAATTTGTGGACAGATTTATTTCAGAATTTTACATCCAATATATCCAATAGTGTCGAGAATACCTGACTAATGACTCAATAATTTATACGAAACGCATGGCGTTGGCACATTCGGTACGTTATACCTTGTGACTAATGTGTTTCTGCTAGTTCCGAGATTATTTTCCCTACCAGTGATGAAATTCTGAGACAAACTACATGAGCACTGGACCAAAACATGGAAGGCCTCTGTTGCTCACTCCCAGAAGGGAATTTCAAAAATTACTGATATGTGATATCATCTACTAATCTTTCAAATTTGAGAGAAATCCGTTCGGTATTTATGGACTTATGACTGGGTAAGTTGAAAATGAAGTCATGTTTTCCGTATTAACAAAAAAGTAGTAGATGTAAAATTCTGAAATAAATCTGTCCACAAATTACTAATATTATCTACTTATATTTCAAATTTGAAAGAAATCCATTTGGCATTTATGAATTTATGACTGGGTAAGTTGAAGGTGAAGTTAGGTTTGCCTCTTGAGCTCGCGCTTGAGTTCGCTAAAGTGTATTAAATAATCACATTTAATTCAATACATTTTAATTTTGAATTATTTGTATTTTATTTTAATTTCATTCTACAGCTGCAGCTGGTATAAATGAGCATCATATGATAGGAGCGAAAATAAAATTGTATTAAAATTAATTGCAAAATTGTATTAAAATTTAATAGCGATAACGTATCAGGATTTCAATCACAGAAATTCGGGTATGAGTATTTAAAATTCATCATTTGATGCATGAACAAATTAGACAGACAATTAATTTTATCGATAGATAAGCACGCTGCAAAAATTAACGATAGGTTAATAATAAAAGAAACATTTAAAACGGTAACGGAATTTTAGGACCAGCACTTGAAAACGTAAGCAAGAGGTTTTGTGATTTTGATGCTCAATTTTGCAGCAAAGGTTGGGTTTGGCTGTGCAGAGAGGCAATGCAGCTAGCATCCTAACGGCAGTCAGAGACAAGTTCGACGTGGGCCCGCTCCTCGCTCGCGTCACAGCTCAGTGACCCTCGGAGTCGGTGTAGGCCACCATCAGAGGCGTTAAGGTCGGGGCCCTGATCATTGACATGAAACCATTCCCTATTTTTAATTAATAAAATTAATTCCCTTTTTGTTGGAATGGTGACTGTGGGAGGCCTTTTAAAAAAAATTTTGCTAAAGTTATATTGACCAAACACTTCGACACTTAGCGGCTACCCAATGCACGTGTCAGTTCAATGGCTTAGGACCGAATCGACACTCCTCCGAACCCGCATATGCCGCTGCGAACACGCCTGCCGGCTCAGACGAACAACCTAACATTTCTCTCAACCGAACCCAATCATACCTCCTTCAATACTGAAGGGATCAGCTCAAAATTTTGAATATAAGTATGTATTATCATTGTCCCGCGATAGAAATAAATACCGATTGCTCCATACTCAATGGAGTCTTAGAAACGACGAAATAGTTACATTTCAAATATTTAGATGAGGATGAGTGAGATCATCGGAAATTCGGAAGGATTGTAAAAAAATTGTTTCTTGGCGTAGAGATTCAATTATATTTTAAACCTCCATCAGAAATTGTGCAAGTATTAAATAACTTGAACTTAATATACCGTTCATATGATTTGCAGCGAACATTCCAGTTCATTACGACTTACAAAGAGATCGCCCATGATGGGAGAAAATAAGTGACAGATGAGGCTCATATCACTCAGTTAATAATTATAACATCAAATCTTTTTTAATGAAAACATGAGTGTTGATTTCAACATATAACAAATATACACACCTTTAGAATAAAAATGAACTAAGTGCGTAATTTTATTTCTAATTTTAATAATAATTGGCACCATCGCGTAGAAATGCAGCTATGCAGCGTCGACTGTCACCGGTGACCGGACATCAATCAGTTGCAGACATGCATTCGTGGTAAATGTTTGTGTATCATTTGCTCCTCCAAATGTCCCCGGCGGTGTGCATCACGTTGAACTCGGTTTGGTGTTGTCTTAGTCGTGAGACGCTATTACTTCCTACCGTTTAGTTCGTTTGCTTAATTTAACTTGGAGACAAATTGTTAAGGAACAAACGCATCTTAAAGTTAGTAATCTAATTGAATATTTCGGGAGTCTGTTGCAACGTTTAATTGAAGTCGGTAAATAAAATGGAGATAGTAAATTTTAAGTAGTGAGTACAAATTTTCTCAGAGTAGTGGTTAGCCTTCATGAACTAACCGTCGAACGTCCAGCCTCCTGAACTCTTCTTCGACTCGCAGACAGTCGCAGTCAACCAATCGTAATTATGTCCATCTTTTACTGAAAGTGTTATTTTAGCACTGATTTGGGCTAGAAATCCTTGTCAAAATTCAGACGAATTATCTGAACGTATTGAATGAGACAATAGACAATAAATAGAGATTGTTTTACAATAATCAAATTTGATTTTTGAGAGTATTTTGATCGAATTGTAATTTTGTATATTTTCGTGGGTCAAGACTCAAGACTGTTGCCTGAAGAGTGAATACTACTTATTATTTACGTTATTGATAGGCTAAATGACTAAAAAGCAGTTCAGACCCAGACTAGGCCTATGTCATTGTTTTATTGTGGATAATTAAGAATGATGGTTTTCCGGTTTGAAGCCTCGAAAGTTAATTTCATTGTGCTTTTATAGTCGCCGTCGCCCGTCAATAATAATGATACATACATTTTTGCCCACTGCCCTGAACAGCTCCTGCTGTGAGGCACTCAACTCGCCACTCGTCATCAATAAAAAGTTAAAATCCGTATGACACCGTACCTACTCGTCACTCAGAAATACGATTTGTAGGGTTCGATTGTCACGTAATCAGTAGAAGCTTTTTCGATCAAGCTAGAAAGTTAGGACTAATTTTTGTTAACAAAATAGATCGTTTCTTTTCAAGGCCGGTGACTTATTTCTCTGGCATATACGCCTGACGATAGTTGAAAACTTGTCTGAAAGAATTCTTGGGTTTATACACGCGTGCGTTTAACTAAGCCACTTTATCGAAAGTGACTTAATAATAAAGATTTGTCAGTTATTTATTTACTTTTAAATAGTGATTAACGTGGTCAGTTATCGTGCCAAGTAAAGCATTCGTTCCAAATGATTCCACCTCTAAAATACCTATTCCAAAAAAGAATATCCGCATTGATAGGAATTTATATTAGCGCTACAACCCCTATAAATACTCGTATTTTGTATGTTACTGGCGTCGGTCGCACCTGCATGTCTCCTGAAACTCATAAATCATGTTTAAGTGCTGATTTACCTACTTCATGCTTGTTTTCTCAGATTAATTATTGAAAAGATACAGATCTCTGTAACGATGACTCCTCATCCTGTGCTTGAATTTGCATTCAAAGACGTGCGAAAAAAAAGATAACGGTTATTTAGCCACTTGTAAATTGTGCACGTTTGAAAAAAAACTGTGAAATTTCCACAAACTAGCAAGAGCAATTTAGTGAAACATCTAGAGAGACATCACCCTAATGCTTATCGCGAATACTGCAGTCGATTTGTCAGAAAAAAAGCATCAGTATCTAAAACCAAAATGACTAATTCGATGACTGCTTCTTTTGCAACTGTTCCAACTCCAGCATCAAATGACCTTCCTTTTGATGAAAATATGGACATAGACCATTCTGATTTGGCAGCATCGCAACTCCTACCAACAACGTCTTCCGCCTCACCTGCTAAATCTTCAACTCCTTGTCATCCGTCAGAGACGACGCTTTTACCTACAGCGTCTCCCGAATCACCGGCAAAAACTCAATCCACGTCTAGCCAATCATTTGATACAGCGCCTTTGCCAACAACGTCTTCCACCTCACACGCTAAAACTCAATCAATTCATAGTCAACCGTGTGCGATGCTAATTAAGAATCGGCGACATGCAGGTCTATCGTCCTAACGAACGCTGACACCGCTGTAATATACTAATACCGTAATACGCTGCCGCGAACACCATCAGATTTTATGTCCGCTTTTTTTTCATGCAGTGCGCTAAGCGCTAAGTTTAAGCATTAACTTCACACATAACTTTATCAAATCGAAGCTTATCTCGATAAGTCGATGTCGTCAACAACGAGACTTTTAGTTCACATTACGCATGAATGAACAATTTCGGAATTTTTGGGGTTTTATTCCATTTGGAAACGATAAGTAATAAGCCTCAGCATTTTTGCAGCTGGATCTTTGTACACGTCCCTCTTGAGCGATAAATAACATACTAAAACTTCAGCAGTTCGAGTTCAGTTCATCTATTTTAATTGATTTCGATGACCATTTTGTTGAATATCAGTTATTATTTTATTGACGTTTTTCTAATCCAATTTAATTTAGGTTGGTATAATTGTAAAATTTTCGACTTTAATGCTCAAATATCTTGCACAAATCACCGTCGTCATCTGCTAAAAATTAGATCGACGTGATATTGGGAAAAAATAATTTCGCTCCATTGTTTTACCGTTTAATATCTAACCAAACAATAATTTTAGATCTAAATACATTTGCATTTATAAGGCATAGTTACATGAATTAAGGCGGATTTATACACACGTTTTTTTTCACTTGTTATAATTTCAGTAATAACCGTACGAAGGGAATATCCTCAATTTATTTACCTTAATCGCGAGAACTTCAAAAAATCTTAAACATTATCCTATTTAACAATATACATTTCAAAATAATTTTCAATATCATCACGTGTCAATTTTGCGGATATATTATGAACTTTTTTTGCGTTACATGACGAACGTTGCATTATTTCATTGAGGGAAGACTCTATTTCAGTAAAAAAACATCAGTTTATTAAAACTGATAAACATCAGCTTATCAGTTTCCCGAAAACTGGAAGCTCAGGTAAATCGGCATTACGAGACTGACTTCTAAGGCGCGTGTTGTGGACGAGGTGCTAAATCATGTTTTAGGACTGAGACATTTGCGCCGCTGACTGCGGTCATAAATCGCGTCTTTTCTCTTCTGGAAATTAAACTTATAACAGCTCTTTTGCCTCGCATTTTGCCAAATAAAATAAATACATCAATGGTAACAAATCGGATTGGAGAAAAGCAGTGAGTAAAATTACAATAATGTAGTGCGGTGATGAACAATTAATTACAAAGTTACTTGTCCCAGCGGCTGTGTTTACTTACTGATAAAATAGAATAGAAGTGTCGGCGTTGAAGAAATAGGCCCATGGCCTGTTGCCGATTCTTGAACTTTTCGTGCCTTGATTAACAAGGGATCCGGCATTTGGAACCCGATCTTTCCATAGCTGACGATTGATTGAGATAGCTGCTGGACTTACTGCCTGGTCCGTAATTTGCTAGGTATTTTAAGAATGAACATATGCTCCTGCATAGCTTCGTCTAGTCTGTTTTTGAAGATGTTCATACTCGGAGCGTCAACGATGCTATCAGGGAGGCTGTTCCACATGTCGGTGACTCGAAGCGAGAAGAAATGTTGTCGCATGGATGTGTTCCAACGCTGTTTTTTAGTTTATAGCCGTGGCCCCTGGTGTTGGTTCTTGTTTCAAATTCTAGTAATCCTTCTGGGACCTTATATAAGCCATGAGTATACTTGTATACTTCAATGAGGTCCCCACGCAGACGTCGATAACTGAGGCTTGGAAGCTTCATAATCTTAAATCTTTCCTCATAGGACTTGCCTTTCAAGCCCGGAACTATCCTTGTTGCACGTCTTCGAACATTCTCGAGCAAATTTCTGTCCTTTTCAAATCTCGGTGACCACACAACGTTTCCAAACTCAAGACTCGGGCGTACGACGGCAACAAACAACTGCTTCATCGCTTCTGCATCTAGGAACTCGAAAGAGCGCCTGATCAGTCCAAGTCGTTTAAGCTGATGTATATCAGTTTTAATAAACTGATGTTTTTTGTAAGTGAAATGGAGTCTTCCCTCAATGAAATAAAGCAACGTTCGTCATGTAACGCAAAAAAAGTTCATAATATATCCGCAATCATAATATATCCGGATTCAGCGTCTTTGTGTCATCCGGGAACGAGAAAAGTGCGTTTGTAAATACAGCGAGGTAAACAATAATGTCCGTTATCACACACGTATGAGCTGTAGGTCTATTCACGCTGTGTAGCTGCTTGCGCCACGTACTTTATGGTTTGTTTGTGTGACGAGCGAAGAAAGGCGGTAGCGTTCTGCTTGTATAGTTGTTCATGGTGTGAAGAAAGAGGAAACTTGTTTTGTGCAGTGGTGGTACTAGGATATTTTGCCGTTTGTATGTTATATTTTATGAATTATATCTTAACTGCTGAATCTTTGGCAATAAAACAGGAAATTCGTGAGGATCGCCATGTGGTTTGTTTAATATATTCATTAAAAGTAATACATTCAGCCCTTTCACATACTGCTTACTGTTATTGAATAGTAGAGAATACAAAATATACAAAGATTGAAATAGGTTATGGAAATTTATTACAGGACCTGCAAGGTCACAATTAAACCTGTATTATAGAGCTCAGAAATATTTCCGCTATGTGGCGCTGCGACGTCAATCTGAAAATTATCATTTAAATTCAAGGTTTTTAATCGCTCATATCAGATTTTTTTTCTGGTTTCAAAACACAGATTTTCTCTGTTCCTCAAAATCCTCTGTTGCCAGCTCGGAAAAGACGTTACGCAAGCATATCATTGCTTGTAAGACCTCAAGGAAAAATGTCGTATTGTACAGCATAAGGGTGCAGAAGACACGATATGAATATTTGCTGTGCTGCTTAAGGTGTCACTTTAAATTATTGTACAAGCAAGGAAGGTGAAATTTGTAAACAAATATCATTATGAAAATTAATGTGGCATAATTTCGGTTAAATTGCAAACTTTAATTGATTGTCTCGGAATTAAGATCCCAGGGCAATGAAAAAGTTAGACCTTTTTTTACGCCATACTTGACAAATAACATGCATTGTGGTTTATAATACGCATTGATTGGAGCGTGCCAATTACGTAGTGGAATGCACCGCGCCGGGATGACCCCAATAGCCCACGTTTACGATCACCGCTTGCATTCGACAAGTAACACTTACTCAGTCAAGTGTTGTCAATTGTGTCATTTTCATCAACGAAAACATATTTTTTTATGTAAGTAGTGATATTCTTATAAAGAAAACCTAGATTGTCCGATGTATGTAATCCAAATTCGAATGATTGAATATACCTGGAAAAATTTTAATTCTAAAATTACAGTATGACTTCTAGTTCTATAAAGACCCTAGGCCTAGAGTGATCTTGAATTGGGCTCTTAGAAATATTGCACTGATAAACTCGTGATTTACAGAGCGCAACGCGTTGTATGATGGCAGAAGCTCTGGCTGACACGACCTCCGATGGAGAAGAAACGAATGCAGATGTTGGCGAAGAATATCCGGGTCCATCTTCAGCGACAGGTAAAGATTTGTTTGCACGTTCGACTGAACTGTCACTGTAACGCATATTTTTCACAAATTATTCAAAAATTTGTTTTAACATTATTTTATTTATCGAGATCAGTTTCCTGGAAACCTAGAGCTGAATAATATTGTGTCAGGTTTTCTGACGCAACCACATTTGCCTGAACTCGTTCCATGTCCTTACATCATTGTTTGATGCCTGCCTCAATAGTCCAATCATAATTAATTTTGCTTAAATTTTAGTTTTGAGACGATGGAATATTAAGCTCATTTATCAAAATTTACGAATTTTACGTTGTTCTTCCGATTGAACGGTATTGTTTTTGGCATGCAAGCAGCCTCGTTGACGTTGCCACAAAGAGAAGCGGACATAGTTGTATACCAAGACATTGTATATGTAGTCGTCTCACTAATAAGAGAATGTACTATAATATCTTATTGTTGCAGTTCCTATGGCGTTCGTTAACATCAATGGACTCGATTACGAGTTGATGGGTGACAGCATGATGCTGCGCCTGTGGAGTTATGCGACCAAAAGTTTGTAAAAGTTTAAGCTACGTTATTCCTTTTACTCGATTAGGAATAACGAATTAAAAGTTATACTTTTAACTCAATTTTTTATATCGTGATGATAAAACTAGACCTAAATTCACAATGAGGAGCATGCTATTAAAGTGAATGATTCTTCTGTTCAATTTTATTTTCGTTGTCGTTGAAAGTTTTCATTCAATTGATGTGAAACCAAGAGTTAAATAATTCAATAATTGACTTCCTCTGCAGGTAGCGCTAGACGACAAAAGGGGCTGTGCGTCAGCGGCTCCACTATGAAGCAGCTGGCACGCAGGATCCGAGATGCTCCAGACCTCGGCCCTAGGATCGTTCTTATGATTGGAACGAATGAGTTCTTACGCGTCAGTAAATTATTGCCTTAGTTCGAATTGAAGTTAAAAAAATTTAAACATTCTATGCCTTAATCACATTCGGTTCTTCGTTGCAAGTCAGCCTTTACGAGAGTTGCGTATATTCACGCATCACGATATCAGTTTGAGATCTTCATTTAGAAATTTGCTCATTTTCTACTTTATTTACAGTGGTCGGGAGAGCCGCCAAGTCTGAGCTTCTTGCAAGAGGAGTTTGGCTGTGTGTTGACGGCACTGCGGGAACATCCTCGTGCGGGCTACGTTACACGCTGCATCTTGCTGACGCTGCCATCGTTACCCAAGTTCGGGTACAAACATCCCGTCCGAAGAGTCTGGAAAGACTTCAACCTTTATATTCTTGAACTACAAGGTACGGTTTCAAAAAAGTATTTTTTGAATAAACCTTTTGATATACGAGTTAATTGACCTAAAACAATAAGTTGTTACTTTTTTCTAAGAATATGAACTTAAAAAAAATCAAGGACCAACCACATGCTAGCATGCTAGTGATGGGGTTGCAATCTGTGGCTGTAAATTCTACCATAACTCAAGGGCTGTAACTCCCAATGTGCATACCACTGAATCTGAAGGCTGGGTAGAATGACATGAGGCAACAAATAAGCACGAAATTTTTCGATCACTCATTAGCAACAGGTTACTTCAGGCTTATTCTTCAGCGCCGACATCACAATGATATGATATGGCAATATTAATACCATAATCACTTTTATGTTGTTTCCCATGCGGCGTGCGGAAGCATGCTACTGCCTACTGAGTTGCGTAGCCTAAGAAGTTAAGTGTTTAGAGTCCGGCGCTGCGAGTGCGAGGGCATTTAACTATTATCTGCCAGCAAACCTGATGAGATAACTTAATGTAGTTCCTAAATTAAACGTCTCGCGTGATCACACAACCTTCAATGGAAACGCGTTCATTAGTAACATGAATTTCTTTGTCAAATTAATTTAAGTAAATGATTGATGCAACAAATCAATAGCATTTGATTACACATTTATTTGTTAAGGTGGTAAAATAATAGCTCAAATTATGGGCAGTGAAATGTGAAAAAATGATCCGCAGTTAAATTATTTGATGTATCTCTACGGAGCTGTGCAAGACCGCTGAAAATATCCTTTATAGAAAATATATGTGCTTCTCTTTGCTTGTCGTTTGCTTATTCCATTTTCTATATGTGTTTCTGTTTGGTGGTGTGCTGCGGAGAGGGAGACCCTTATCGGTGTCCGCCTCGGCCACCTAACCAAGCATGTAGTGTCTTAGATATTTATGTTTATGTTAGATTTAAGTGCCGAAGTGCCTAGTCCCACCCGTACTCTCTCCTTCTTTCCCTTGTCGTCTCTCTTGACGGCCCAGGTTTGCACTATAGGCCTGACGACCTTCAAGTCTGAGGGGAAAGCACCTGGAAAAAAAAGCATCCCATCAGACATTTGACGTTGGCTCATCGTTAATTAAACGTTGTTGCAACGTGATTTGGTTGGTGGGGTGAATAACGAGCTAGGGTGCAAACCCGCCGGTCATCCCTCCGTTTAAGGGCAGCATGGAAATGACCAAATTCTTCTAACTTCTTATTGTCCTTTTAACTCCTTATTTTAATTGCATGCCTTGTGTGAGTGCCGCTTCAGCAGAGGGCGAGCGCAGTGGACAGCAGTGAACGTCCAATCCCTCGTCATGTCTATGCCTCATGCCTATGTCATGTCTGCCCCATGTCTATGTCATGTCTGCCTCATGTCTATGTCATGTCTGCCTCATGTCTATGGATGTAAGCGTTTTCAATCGAAGACATCGAAAATTTGGAGTCTTCGACCAACGTTAAAAGTACGCTTATTGATTTGAGGTTTGTCCCTCGTAACATTGGTAGAGTTCTGGGCTTAAAGAAATTGCAATTTTATAGTAATTCTTGAAAAATTTGCTGCACAAACATCAGCTACTTATTTGTTAATTGCATTGTAAACACACAAACAATCGGAATAAATTCCAATAATATGCATAGAATGCAATGAAGCCTGTTGATTGAAAGAGCACTATCAAATTTCTCGTATATAGTATACCTATACATCAAGTTAGACGCTTAAAATATTTGAAGACGCTCGGTAAAGTGGATACGACCTGCTTTATCTGTCCGGTTCGCGTAACTTCTTTTGTCTCATTTACGTGCGACGCTTGATTTTGTGACTTGTGACGCGATGCATGCGACCTGCGAACGAAACATTGCGTTCCTGCGGCGCTTCGGGGCGCGATTCCGGAAGGTGAGCCCTAAACGACAGTAATTTGATTTTGATTTCGCCAGGACTTGAGGGCACCACGGAACATTTGGAACTGAATTTCATCTGCTGAAAAGAAAAAAGTCTCGTCGGATTTAGCCGAATGAACGATGAAGCTACTTGAAATATCAAGTAGCTTAAACTCCCGCAAGATCAAAATATTCACAGAAGGAAAATCTGAGCCTGTTGACACGAATACCAGCGACAGCAATGCGGGAAGTTATCTAAGAGGTTTTATTTAAAACTTTTGCTCATAAAGAACCTGAACCTGGAAAAGCACCCTGGCTCCTCCAAACACGGTCTCGACGAAGTATTGAGTGAGAGAACTCGTGGATTTATTCTGCAGCTTCGTTTTTGGAATAAAGTGCTTCAGCCTGGAAATAATAATGAAGTCGAAACTTTCAATGGGACCAATGATCTTAAATGACTCGTGTGAAGTTAAGTCTTGAAGCAAGTTAAGTGATGTTTGAAAGCAAGAACAAACTCCAGGAGCCACATTTGTAAACTGAAAACCTGCGGTGCAGCTCAACAATGTGCAACTCTTTCACTGATGTCACTGACATGTGGAGCAGACTCCCTGCTGAAGTCTTCGAGGCCTCGAGTATGAACGCGTTCAAGAACAGACAAGATGCTCCATACGCCTGGTGGAACGCAAAAGGTTTCATAGCATCAAAGCCAGTTCCGATGGACCTAGTAAAATAATAAGTTTTGCGACCTCCTGCAAGCACGACATAAACTGCAAGAATCAGCGTATTCACAAGACGTATTCTTACTTACAAGGCGTACTATTTTCTAACACCAACGCTGCTTGTATTGAAACGGTGGAAACTGATAGCATCGCGCATTGAAGAATATTAACTATCATGCTTGTATTGAACATACCCTCCCGTCTTACCTGTCTGCAAAAAATACTCTTGCTCTTTCCTATCGTGAAATAGAATTAAAGCATTAAAGTGACTACATTTAATGTTGATTCTAATATTTTCTCTAATATCCTTTTCTCTTTGTTTCAGGGTGTTGGTTCTCATGCATATCCTCTGCATGAGGACACGAATGTACGTCTTATCGCAGTGATAGCTGTGCCATTCGATGGCGGAATTCCGAAGAAGTGTCCACCATCTATCCTGAGGCGCCCAGGGTAGGAGCGACGCCCTCCCAGGAATATAGCTTTTGGCGGGGTTGCGTGTATTGAGTTCCAACCTTCGCCGGATCGTCGGCGACGGTCGCGCAGAACGCGCGAATGGTGAAGCGGCCGTGTGGCATCGCTCGTGTGGCAACAAATACAATCTCTATAGGATGCAGGTTGATTTATAAATTTTTGCTTGGCGCTATACCATAAATTTAGTTCGCACATTATTGAACAAGCAATTCGGTTTGACCTTCGCTATTTACGTTATATATGTGGATTTCGATCACCGCTGTGAGTATTTTTCCATGTAAATTACTTCCTATATATCCATTATAAGAGCCACAATGTCAAACTTTTGGTCCAAATATTATGATATACTCGAAGCTTCAATATCTTGACTATAGTTAAGATGGCCGAACGATCATGGCCGTAACTGACGTTAGCTAAAACGGGGGAAGTCATGCTCGTTAATTAAAGAGGTCGTAAACCTAAGAGTAAACGTAATTTGCAACTTGTGACTGCTACTTCGCATCATGTACAGTATAAATGTTTCATTTTTTTAATTTCATATTTACAAGAACAATAAAGGAAAGCAAATTTTCGTTCATTTTATTAACTGCCGTGGCAGCACAGCCAAATTACAGCCAGGTCTCTGACACTATTAATTAAAAGACGAAACTGTACCCAAACGATGGTGTGGCCTTAACCCGATGACCAACATGCGTAAACTTACACCCTTTCTTTAGTTTATGAAATTGAGATATTGATTTTTCACGAGATATTGTTCAAAAATTGTATATCGAATGGGTTATTAAAATCTATGTTTTCTAGATGGTTTATTACTGCAACCGTGCACGTGTGCTCATGTAGGGTTCACATTTGTACTAATATTGTACAGTATCTGATTACATATTTTTTAGCGCGGACTCCTGCGCACGTATCGCCCTTACGAGTTTCAGCTTAATAATTCAAAGAATAACAATGAAAACTTACGTTTTGCATAGATCGATCAAAACGTCACTTGACATCTCTCTTAAAATAATGAAACCAAACGGTAAGTAGAAAAAATAAAATAATACTACAACATTTCTGCAAACTTGTATACGTAAATATGTCATGTATGAAGGAAGATGGGCACAAAAGTGGGTAGCTGGCGGGCCAGACGCTTGATAGCATCACGAGGCTGCTCTCCTGCTGGCGACCTGTCCACTTCTCACCTCGTCAATGGTAGTCTGATATCAAGTCAATTTAATGTTGTTAATTTGTAATCTTGCGCTCCGAGGATTAAATAGTTCGTTCACGGAGACTTTGCGTACTCATCAATGATAAACATAAATATTACAAATATATATCAATGAAAAGGAATTAACACGAATCGTAAACATAGTAAATTGAGCTCAATAGCGGCAAGCTATAGGTTACGGCTTTACGATCCCAACAAAGAAAAATTCTGTGTGCCTACAGCCAGCGAAGCGGACGCTAAACTTATACTCTCCACTTTTGATATGCTGCTGCTGTATAATCACGTACAGGGGGGTTTGAGGTCAAAGTTTTCACTCGAGTCATTTTTCCCAAGAGCTCACCCGATAGAATCTCATGAAAATTGGCACAGACACGTACGCATATTTTTTCTACCAAACCTTTTTGTCGGATTTCCGAAATTCCCACTCCTTCCCCCCCCCCCCAAATCCCCAAAAAAGAGGAAAATTTGGTCAAAAAATGACCTAAAATGAGGTTGCGGAAACGATCACAGCTCAAAAAGTTGCAAAATCATAGCAATGCGCTTTATTTCAAACAAAAGATAAAGGATTGAACTGTGTTTGGGATTTCGAACGATTTTTTGTCGGGTCGAAACTTCATCCCCAAATTGGAGGTCAAAGTTGACCCTGAAAAAATTGTTTTCTGCCATTTTTCGGTGGGTTTTCAACTCTCACGGCCAAACCGTAAAGATTTTTGAAATTCTGACGCCATATACTCTACGCGTCTCAACGAGATACACAAATTATGTTCTATACAGATTTCCGAAAAAATTAAAACTCACAAAGTTGTGAGCGAAACTTTGATCATGTTTTATCCAACCTTTTTACTTTTTTTCACAACTATACGGAAAAATTTTCTAGATTTTTCAACAACTCTAATCATCAAGCACAAGTCTTTGCCTTTAATTTGGACCCTGTTTCAGTATCCCAGCTTCTATAGAACTTGAGATATGATTTTTCAAATTGGACAAGAATTGACCGAATTTTCGTCGGAATCGCGTAACTTCGAGAGCTTCCCTGAACGTTTTCAACGTCTTCACTCATAAGATTATTGTGCGAGCTGCGTACTTCCTGGAAGCTTTCTGAAAGTTTCAATCAACAGAGGATAAAACTGAGCTAATAAGTGTGTATAACACGTATTTTCGAAATATTATTACTTTAAGAAACTTGATGAATAAAATAAGACCAAAAATTTGATTTTTTTCACTTTTTGAGCGAATATTTGATCATCTTAATTTTAACTTAGAAAGATCATTCATATATGGTTTACTGCTTCAGCTTTTTAGAATTAATAATGCAAAAGAAAAAATCTCAAATGTTCTGTAGAAAATGGTTTTCATGAAACATTAATATTGGTCCGTGCCAGAATGAGCCCGATCCGTAACTGTGATTTTTAGCTCTTTCAAGGTATTTTAACTCGGTAACGATCAGGATTGAAGAAAATTGACACGAATAACAATGGAAAGAAAACAAAAGTTTCCTCTTAATGGCCCCGAGTGTTGAGCTCGGGGCCTTGACGTTCCCTCGATATCTGCCGTCAAACAAGACTTCAACTAGAATTTCGATCAAGCAGTTATTACGATGTACGATGATGACCACCGGCGTGCAGGAGTTGGCAGCGCTCGTAAGTGCGACTAGTAAGTTGAGAAACTGGTAGCTTAAGAAGCCTTGAAGCTGTGTTTCTTGCAACCATTGACTAAGTATTCAAAGTTTTTGCACTATTTACTTTGATAGAGGAAAAGCGACACCTAGATTATTGAAGTTTGGAGTATTTAGCCGGAGTTCGCATTTTCAACACGTTCAGTGAGTGTTGGAAATGCAAACTCCGGCCCCAATTATGCACGGTATGGAAATGGAACAGGTAGGAAATTGAACATGTCGTAAAATATACGTCATTAGCTGAGGTTAGGTTCAAGCCAGGAACAAGTTCCTATGGCGACCATGACAAAGGGTGGTTAGGTTAGGTTTAATTATGATAGGTAAGGCAAGGTTAGTTCAGGCTAGCCTAGGTTAGGTTTGGATAGGATAAGTTAGGTTAGGTTGGGTTGGGTCAGGTTGGGTTGGGACAGGTTAGGTTACGACAGGTTAGGTTAGGATATGTCAGGCTGTGTTCAGTTTGGTTAGGGTTCTTTGGCTAGGTAAAACTAATGTAAGACTGTTTTATACACTAATGACACACACGGGAAAAGGCCACAATTGGGGTTTGCTGTGTGTAGTAGGAATTGTGTGGCAAAAAGAAGAGAGAAAAAGAAAAAAATTTATAGCGGCTGATCTGGATTTATAGTAGTTTCTATTCGCAATCATACCTCTGGAGGTGCCTAATCTCGTTAAAATAAACATTTCAGCAGGTTATCCCAGTATAGTCCTTCACTCTGACAATCGCACTCTTAATACGCAACCTAAAATGTTGATTCGCTTCAGGCTCTTACACTGCTACTTTGAAAAGTTAACGCAATATTCGTAATAAAAATGTTATTGTGAATATTATCAGTGTACTGATTGATAATTCGAGCAATAATGATTAAGAATGAACGAACCTGCTCAAAGTTTTCGCTCATCTGAACATTGTGGAATCGATCGTTTATTCGAATCATTTCTTCGAGTTGAACGGACATAAATACGAACGGTTTCAAATACACAAAATATTTTCAGAACAAATCTATTCAAATGATGGACGCAGACATTATAGGAATAATGAGGGGATAAATTTTACAAGATCCGGCGTGAGCAATCTGTTGGGGTCCAGAATCGCTATAGCTGATGCCATTTTTTCGTTAATACTTTCATTACTTTGTTACTATTACCTCTCGCCGTTCAGGCACATGACATTGTCTTCTCTTCCGGATTCATATCTTTGCGTCCCTCTCCTATTTGGTAACGTTGGGACGTCTAATGTTTACGGAATAAAGGATTATGAACCCTTGTGGCTACAGTCGGGCCTCAGCGGGGTCGGGATTAACGTTTCTGAACAGACTTCATGTGCTCGTGCACGTCGTTGCTCACGTGTGGACTCGATAATAATAGCATTCAATTAAAACGGAAACAGGTTTCCATAGAGGACGTTTCCTCTGTCGAAAACGTGCTCAACGTTTTATTTAATATATTGCACGTTTTTACAGAGCATTAAGCTCGAGTTTTTCAGTATTCCAGCCAACTCTTCATCGCAATTTTCAGTCATTATTTCTGAGTTACTTGCAGTAAAGACATTTTGAGCGACTCGTGAAGAATATCGTTCAAAATAAATTACAAAGCTGCAGAAACTGTTCTCGTCGAGTCTCTACTTATAGAGAATGTTTTCACATTGTTGAACAGCAGTTCGTAATTTTACGTTGCTCTACGATGTCTTCGATTGAAAACGCTTACATCCGTAGACATGAGGCAGAACGTTGCACTTCAACAGTTGCAGTTCGTTGCAGTTCGACCAAGTTGATGAACTTGCCTCTCACTTCGAAGAATCTGGAACGATTTACGTTGGATTGGACGTTCACTGCTGTCCACTGCATTCGCCCTCTGTTGAAGCCTCACCCACACTAGGCATGCAATAAAAATAAGGAGTTAAAAGGATTAGAAGTTAGAAGAAGTTGGTCATTTCCATGCTGCCCTTAAACGGAGGGATGACCGGCGGGTTTGCACCCTAGCTCGTTATTCACCCCACCAACCAAATCACGTTGCAACAACGTTTAATTAACGATGAGCCAACGTCAAATGTCTGATGGGATGCTTTTTTACCAGGTGCTTTCCCCTCAGACTTGAAGGTCGTCAGGCCTATAGTGCAAACCTGGGCCGTCAAGAGAGACGACAAGGGAAAGAAGAAGAGAGGACGGGTGGGACTAGGAACTTCGGCACTTAAATCTAACATAAACATAAATATCTAAGACACTACATGCTTGGTTAGCTGGCCGAGGCGGGCACCGATAAAGGCCTCCCTCTCCTCAGCACACCACCAAGCAGAAACACACGTCTCCTGCAAAGAATAAATTAGTTCACATTGTTATCAGTATTTAGGTTATCACACGGTTATCAGTCAGGCCTATAGTGCAAACCTGGGCCGTCAAGAGAGACGACAAGGGGCCGTCAAGAGAGACGACAAGGGAAAGAAGAAGAGAGTACGGGTGGGACTAGGCACTTCGGCACTTAAATCTAACATAAACGTAAATATCTACTAGTAATATAGTACATGCTTGGTTAGTTAGCCGAGGCGGGCACCGATAGAAACACATATAAAAAAGCAGAAGCAGAAACACATATAAAAAAACAAGCAGAAACACGCCAAGCAGAAACACATATAAAATAACAGACGTTCTTCACTCACTAAACGGAAGTAAGTACTACTTGCGCGGGTCCACTATAAGATGACGTGCGACGACTGACCAGGGCAGATGTGAGGTGCTTGCGGTCTCTACTGCCTCCCGGGACCCAGGCCGCGAGGACGACCAGGCTCCCCCCCAATATGGTCGACGCTCAGCTCGGGGTCGACGCTCAGCAACCACGGA